GTGTTTAGTACTATTGTTATCAGTTTAATCACTGTTACGTCCCCTATCCGTTGATGTGGAGCAAGACGCAGCAGCAGAAGAGGACTAAGCCGAGGAGGTTATGGAAGAGGATGGAGTAGGAGGAGTAGAGGAGGTGGTAGCGTACTGGCAGAGTACACGCTGTAGGGCTGACACACCTGCTTGAAGATAACTAACTGCTATTCAATCTATAACAGTGGAAAAAGTTTTTTGTTTTTAAATCCAAGCTATTGTGTCACCAGATCTAAGTGGTGGCACTGGTCACCGTATCCACTGTTAGCGTAACACACCCGCTTTAAGGACACTGACTGCTATTCAATCTATAACAGTGAAAAAAGATTATTTTTTTTTTAAATCCAAACTATTGTGATACCAGATCTAATTAGTGGCACTGGTCAGCGTATCCACTCTTAGCGTAACACACCGCTTTAAGGACACTGACTGCTATTCAATCTATAACAGTGAAAAAAGATTATTTTTTTTTTAAATCCAAGCTTTGTGTCACCAAATCTAATTAGTGGCACTGGTCACCGTATCCACTGTTAGCGTAACACACCCGCTTTAAGGACACTGACTGCTATTCAATCTATAACAGTGAAAAAGATTATTTTTTTTTTAAATCCAAGCTATTGTGACACCAGATCTAATTAGTGGCACTGGTCAGCGTATCCACTGTTAGCGTAACACACCCGCTTTAAGGACACTGACTGCTATTCAATCTATAACAGTAAAAAAAGTTTTTTGTTTTTAAAACTAAGCTATTGTGACACCAGATCTAATTAGTGGCACTTGTCAGCGTATCCACTGTTAGCGTAACACACCCGCTTTAAGGACACTGACTGCTATTCAATCTATAACAGTAAAAAAGTTTTTTGTTTTTAAATCCAAGCTATTGTGACACCAGATGTAATTGGTGGCACTGACTGGGGAAATGGGCACTGTGAGCCTGACACAGAAGCTGGCAGCAGTGGCAGACAACTAAGTGCATTTACATTACATAGAAAAAAAAAATCCAAAAAAAGCATACCCTTATCCCTAACCTAGCTATGCTTTTCCCTATCTGATGAACAGCAGCTACACTTTCCCTCCTCTTACTAAGCATGCAGCTTGAGAATGAATCTAAAATGGATGCTGTCCAGTAGGTGGGAGGGTCTGCTAGGGAGGCTGTGCTGCTAATTGGCTGGAATGTGTCTGCTGACTGTGAGGTACAGGGTC